CACAGGTGGAAGGCAGAGACTGCCCCCCCTGGGGGGGCCCCCCACCGCTGAGGGCGTCGGAGCCGGGTTTCTTGCCCTTTCTGCCATTGTCACTCCCTCCACAGTTGCCTTTTAGATGTTCTTTTGTTCATGGTGCTCCAGGGACACCTCCCCGCCACAGCTGGGCTGCTCCTGCTTGCGTACCGTACCGTGTGCGGGTGGGTGTTTCAGACAGGAGTGTTCCCTCCCCCGGAACCGAAGCTTCCCAGCCTGGAGGCCAAGTCACCATCGAGACAGAACCAGGGAGCCTGCGCTGGGCTCACTTGCATCACTAAGGCCCTCAGGGGACAGTGAGGAATGACTCCGCCTGAAAAGATGTGACACTCGGGTACAAATGACCTGCCCCACACTCCACCTGGAGAAGCAGAGACGGTGCACAGTGAAGCCCAGGGAAAGTAGGAGGGCGCGGGCTGGGGTCGGAAAGGCCCGGTTTAAACCACCCAGACCTCTCTGCTGGTGTACGTGATCTTGGCAGAGCAACTGACAGAGACAGAGAGAGGAAAAGTGAGAAATCGCCCCCAAGAGGATGGCCATGCCATATCCCTTCTTCTCCATTCTCCTCTCGAGATTTTGGGCATGCACGCACACATGCCCGGAGTGATTTTAAGTCACTGGGTCTAGGACTCAAACCGCAGTCAGCCATGTGGAAATCCAGCGCCTTAACTACCATGCCACCTGCTGGCCCCGTAAACCACCTAGATCTCTTACTGTGACGTTCAGACTTAGGAAACCAATGTAGCCATCTTACAGATTTATTCACTTACTATTTGCTTCGTTATTCCTCAGAAAATCAGATACGTGACCAGCAGATGGCATAACAGTTACATTGCCGGACTCCTACATGGTCAACCGTGGTTCAAGTCCTGGACTCGGAGGCTTGAAACTCACACTGGGTGAAAGTGCATGCATGCCCAAGATCTTCAGAGCAGAATGAAGGAGAAGGGGGCCATCCTCCCACCAACCATGGTGACTGCTCACTCTCTGTCTCTCTGTCTCTCCAGTGAGCACACACACCCTATAGCAAAAATCTCTCTTACACACACACACACACACACACATGCGTACAAGCTAAATGAAGTAAGTTCTAACATATAAAGGGATATGTAAAAACTATTTATTCTATATGCGTGTAGGCGTACTGATCATATTGAGAAGATTCATAAAGTGTGATTAACAGTGGCTCCTCCTGGAGGCTGGGAGTGAGGCAGGAATGAAGACGGAATGGTTACTTGTAACAATCCTGAATGACTCCTTGCACCGTCACATGGATTTATAACAGAGGCTCAGACACGGAGTGGGAGGGCCGCCTCTCTGCGCCACCCCTGGGTCTGAATGGAGGGTTAGCTTTTCTCCCCACGGAACCAGGCCCCGGAGTACCTGGTTTCTATCTCCCTGCCCCAGCCTCCTGCAGGCTGCTTTTAGGAGAGAGAGGGTCTGCCTGGCACACAAGGCAGGGCCAGTCTCCACGTTATCAGCCACATGGAGGGTTCTGGGTTGAACTGTGGTCCCCGAAACTCCTTTGTTGAGGTTCTAACCTCCAATAACTCGGGGTGAGCCTTGTTTGGAAATGGGCGTGATTCATCAGGATGGAGTCACACTGAAATGGGTGAGCCCTGCCTGAGCCCTCGTGCCCTCCCCCGTAGGCTAAGGCTCATTTCTGGACCACATACCCGCAGTCCTGCCATCAGGAAGTGCCTCCTGGCCAGGAAGGCTGAGGACCTCTGACAGCTGCTGAGGCTGCCACCGCTCCAGAGTCCGAGTTTCCCCATGTGTCAGTTTCCCGGGGCTGCTGTAGCAAACCGCCACAAACGGGGTGGCTACATGACAGAAATGTGCCATGTCATGGGTCTGGAGGCCAGCCTGAGAGTACGTTCAGCAGCGTTGGTTCCTTCTCAGCCGTGCTGGGCTCTGTCGCTGCTGCTTCCTCAGCTTCGGGAACTTTGCAGGCAGTCTGGCCTTCTGTGGTGGTGTCACCCCGGTCCCTGCCTTCATCTTTACACCTCCCTGTGTACATGTCTGTCTCTCTGAATTCCCCTTTCATAAGAGCATGCGCAGATTGGCTTAGGGCACAATTCCTTCTGTCTCCTTTTGGGATTTTGGGCATGCACGCACAAGCCACTGCTGTGTTTCCCAAGCCAAGAGCCCGGGACTCGAACCACATGGTCAGCCATGTGGAATCACGGTGCCTCAATCACCACGCCGTAGGCTGGCCCTGTATTGCTATTTTTTAACAGGATGTAGGGCTGCACCAGAATAAGCCAACCAAACATCGCCATGGCAACAGGCCTTGCCAAAACGTGAAACAAATTAGTCACAAGCTAGAACTTACCGGTAGGCCCCTCAGTCCTCGGGGACCCTGCAGCCCTATGGGTCCAGTATCACCCTGGAACAGAGAAGGTTCACGTTATCACAGAGTCACTCTGAGGAGGACGGAGACACAGCGTCAGTGTGGCCAGCCTTCCCCAAGTCACCCACAGCAAACTGCCTGAACTGTCTTGTACTAATGGCAGCTCTTCCAAATACACATTGCCTGACTCACTCCACGAAGACACAGACACGCTCAATGCCCACAGCCACGCACCCACTGTGTGCTTGCTTAGATGTGCTCTGCCTGGCCCTGCAGGGAGGCGGGCTGCTCCCATCTGGAACTAAGCACAGTTCTCATGAGGTGCTTTTCCTGACCCACTGGACAGTCATCGAGGCCCATTCTGGCCTAAACCACAGCAGAGAGGAAAATGCCCCCAGCCATGTGATCGTGAGCATGTTCCCTGGCCTCTCTGTGCCTCCATTTCTGCCACAGCACCTTCCAGCTTGCAGGGGTGCTTCCCCAGCCCTAGCGACAGGACATGAGTGCAAGCCCCCGATGCTGCGGAAGAAAACGCCAAAACCCGTGTGCTCCCACACGAGGCAGATGGGTGAGACATGCTAGGCAAAAAAGCAGAGTGCGGAGACGGGGGAGGAGGCCTCACTGGAGCTGCTGCCCCAGCTCCACGATGACCTGCAGGGGGCTGGGGTCAGTCATGTTCCTGCTGCCTGAACCTCCTCTTCTAGACTCAAAGAGAGGGGGGTTAACTAGACCAGGTACGAGAGGCCCCTTTGGGGGGGCTGGTCCCTGTGTTTAACGTGCAGCTCCACACACTTGTTTGTAAAATGGACTCTGCTGCTCAGAGAATGCACGTGGCTTCGAACAGATTCCTCCTAAGAATCCTTCCAGCTCCGCCTTCTCCCAGCAGATCAGCCAAAAAGCCCATGTGCCCTGGTGCCTCAAGAGCCACCAGGGAAGTCACATCCTCAGTGTCTCACAGCCAGTCTGAAGGATGCCGAGGGCAGGCAGGAGGCCCCTGGGCCTGCAGGCCCCAGTGTCCACACGTCTGCCCCAGCTCCCCACACGTTTCATGGCCCTGCAGGCTACCCGGAGAGATGGCCCACTAGGGGGCGTGGCGCTGGCAGATCCTGGGCCCCGGCATCTCTGTGAGAAGTCCCTTGACTCCCCAAGTCTGATTTCCATCCAGGCAACAGGCACAGAAGTTCTACTTGCCCGTCCAGATTCTAAGTCCAAATGAAAGAGCATCTGGGCTCGTGGGGGCGGCTCCGCGGGGCTCCGATCACACTAGCACGGACGTGGGAGACACAGAGACAATTCTCTGAATCCTCTCAGCTCCACTTAGGGCCCTTGTTGGTGCCGATAGATGGACACATTGGGACAGATCTAGGAAAGCTCCCTCACCAACTGCAGGGCACAGGCCTCGAACCACAGGCTGAAAGCCCCAGCCTCAACCGCACTGACCGATTCTGCCCCGTTGCCATGTGTGCCTGTTTGCAGTGCTACCACTAGCTTTTGGGTGACTCCCTGACCCCGCGTAAAGGCCAGTCAGGTCCCCACTTACATCTTTTCCTGGCAAGCCTTCCCGGCCAGGGGGTCCCATGGCACCAGGCTCTCCCTAGAAACAGAAAGTGTGTCATTAGCAAAAAGCATAGCTTCCTTGGACTCTGGCTGGCTCAAACCACAACCATCTGGGGGTCTGGATGGGAAGGAGAGACCTGGGGGTTCTCCCTCCAAGAAGCACCCCTAGCAGGGCAGGGCAGGGAAGCCTCTATGCACAGAGCCCTCTCTCAAGCCGGGCTCTGTGGTGCTCCTGAGGCCAACTGCGGGAGCCTCCTGGAGCAGCTCAGGGAGGAAAGAACACAGCAGAGGAGTGGAACCGCTGCTCAGAACCCGTCTCCTTACCTGCCAACCTGTTCGACTCTGTCTCCCTCTGCTTCCTCCTTGTAATCTCTAACATGCAGGGCATCTAACCAGCAGACCCCAAGGTCACTTCCATTTGGGGCGTTCAGAGAGACGGGAGGAGCAGAAGGAAGAGAGAGGACACAACGTCCACCAGTCTAGGGCAAAGCCAGCCCTTCCCATCAGCCCTGGGGCCTGGGGGATCGCCCACATCCTCTGGGCCTGTCTTCTTCTCCATAAAAGAAGCCTCGAGCAGCTAACAGTGCGGTCCCTCAGGGCTCAGAGTCAGTGTGCACACGCGGACGTGGGGACCCCATCTGAGGCCGGACCAATTGGCCAGAGTGGCTGATGCCAATGGCAGGCCCCCGGGGAAAGAGCTGGGGAGTCAGTCCAACCAAGGGGAAGAGGCTGCTGGGACATCCTCACTCAGAGATGGCGCACTGTGTGGGGCTCTGCTCGGGAGGTGCCAGCTCTGTTCCACCTGGGACGCCCTCCAAGTGAGCGCCACTTACCCGGGGACCAGGTGCGCCAGAATCGCCCGTGTGTCCCTTGAAACCCTGAAAGGAAGAGAATGAAGGTTTTTACCAAAGAACAGGTGAGTGAGGCAGGAAGGGTGGGTCCCCGATGACAGCCACCCGCACCCCACCCTTTCACTCTGTGTCACCAACTCTGCCCACTCAGTGCCACCTCGGGGTACTGAGCCCTACCCTGCATGCGGCATGGTGCCAGGGGCTTGATGGCTGGTCCTGAGAGCCCTCTGTCCGGCTCATTCTGTGCTGTGGACAGGGCCGTGGGTCTTGTCCCACCAATGCCTCAGAGTGTCAGCGCGTCCCCTTGGTGTCTCCTGAACCCCCGTTCCATCTAATCTTCCCAGTCTCCCACCACACGGCTTGACATCCCTCCTCCCCCCGCCCCCGGCCCACTGGGCTCATGTGTCAGGAGTTCCTCGTAAACCACCTCGCCTCCCTTGGCGCTAGGCTGGCCCTTGCTGTCTCACCCACAGCTGGGCTCATTCACAAGCAGGGCCAGTGCTGGGAGCCTCGCCCTGAGCACACAGCTGGGCTCTGCTTGCCCAGAAGAGGAGCTTGAAGGGAGATGGCCTGATGTGCCCCGAGAGCCACAAGCCTGAGTGACAGGAGCCGTGGGCGAGATGACACTGCCATTTCGAATCGCCAAGCCTGACATCTGAGAAAGTTGGGCGGAGAGGGAAGGTACCTGCCCAGAGTCCCAGAGCTGGGATGAAATGAGACTGGGAGCCAGTCAGGTCTGCCCGGTCCCCAGGCCTCCCATGCTCCGCTCTCCATGGCCTGTCCTGCCTGCCGGACATGCACTCCTCGTAAACACCACAGCATCCCTGCATGCGGCCACCCTCCTCCTGACGTGCCCCTAGCGCCACAGCAGGCCTGCGTGCGGCCACCCTCCTCCTGACGTGCCCCTAGCCAACTGCAAAGTGCTGCCTGCTCCAACCCTTCCAGTCCCCCAGGCTTTCTTCTCTACCCTCCGAGCCCCAGACTTATATCGGGGAAAACAGTCCTTCCCTGCAGGGTGGCAAGGGCTGCAGGAGGGCTGAGATGTGAGGCAGTCAGCAACTAATGAGAGGAGGATGGGGAAGGAAGAAAGGGCGACAGGGAGGGGGCGTCATGGGAGTTTGGAGCCAGCTTCAACCTCTGTCACTTTGCAAAAGCCACTTTAGCCCTTGCGGTCCTGACCTGACCATCTGTGAGGCGAGGATCACACGTCCCGCCCAGCCCGGCTCTCTGTGTCCACGGTATGGCTGCTTACACTCTCAGGTCTGACTTGAACTGGGTCTGGAGCTGCACTGCAGCGCCCACTCCTAGCTGCGGGGCCTTGGGCCTTCCCTTCCCTTTGCCGAGATTCAGTTCTCACAGCTGTCAGGTGTGGCGGACCCTCCGTTAGCAGCGGTGCCACCCAGACTGAATAAAAGGGAGCAAGCCTCTTCGGCTGGTCACTTCTTGGGAGGCCTGGGGACAGCCTGGACCAAGCCTTCCTTGGCAACACCAGAACCACAATCCCGGGCAGCCCAGAGGGAGGAGCCTGGTGTGCTGTCCTCCCCGTTCTCATGACCCAAACACCAATGGAGGGTGCCGGACACAGCGTGCCAGGGATCTGGCTGGGAACTGAAGGCTTTGTCTTCTGCTTCAGTGGTCTGGACTCTACATGGATGACCAGGTGGTTCAAGTCCCAGACCTGCTGGACTCTACATGGATGACCATGTGGTTCAAGTCCCAGACCCAGCAGCTTATAAACCATGCCAGGTGGATGTGTGTACATGCCCAAAATCCTGGAAGGAAGAAGAAGTGGAAGAGAAGGAGTTGCAGTATGGCCATTCTCCATGGGAGTGGCTTCTCACTTTCTCTCTCTCTCCAGCAGGCACAAGTGCCCTATGGCAAAATTTCTAAATAAATAAACATTGAAAGTAAGACTCGGGGTTCTACTATGCACAGAAAACCCATTAAAATGATAATAAATAGGATAAGAACAAAGAAAACTTAAAACAATAACATGGTAACGATGGTTGCAATTTTGAAATGAAGCGTACGGCCAGGCATGTGAGAGGCGAGTGGAGCCCACGGAGGCACCACGGCCTGCTTGGAGGAGGGGGTTTCTGGAGCCCACAGCCAGGCATGCCGGGCTCTCCCTCCTGCTGCAGTGTGAGCCGTGTGGCTCAGGACTCGAATCTACCAGGGACCCACAGGGGGCACTTACAGGTGGGCCTCGGGCACCCTCTGGTCCTGGCGGGCCTGGCTCTCCTCTTTTGCCCTGGGAGTAAGGGAGAAAAGAAGAGTTTGAGCACAGCACGCAGAGCTGCCCTGAGCTGCACGGCTTTCACATCACTCTGTCTCTCACGCCTGTCTCTGCCACCTGCCAGCCATTCCCCCGGCACCTAGGACCACTCTAGTTGACACAAATCTCCACCGAGTATTTAACACCATGACACCCCTGGCGATGCTGGGAGGGCGCTGGCTCCGCAGGTGCCCTGTCCACGGAGTTACTCACAGGGCCTCTGCGCTTTGAGAGTTTGGTTCAGGGTGAGAAAGGACACGGCCCCCTCAGGTAGAAATGGCTTTGAACCTCCTCACAATGCTCCAAGGCAGCGGAGCGATTGCACTTTGCCAACTGTCACACCAAGATCCAAGAAGTTATAGTTTTACTGAGTCATTAAAGTCGGACTGAGTCCAGCACCTGGGATGCTCCCGCATGCCAGCAGGTGCATCTGCTCTGGGTGGCCTGAGGTCTACACAGTAGTTCCCCACCCCTCCTGCCCGGTGATGACGAAGTTATGGGATACCCTCGCTATTACAAGTCCCTGCTGCCCACAGCCTAGTATTGTCCTGGACAGAACCAAGCCAGGAATAAGAGTCACAAAGAAACCCAGAATGGCGGTCCAGACAAAGCGGGCAGAGGAGGGGGTGGGGAAGGACAGAGGAAGTGGATCGAGTGCAGGGAGGACTGGGCAGATGGCAGCATCGTGGGCCTTCCCGTTGTAGCTGAAGACAAGTCCACTGCCAACTTTCCACCTCTTTTTCACAGGCTGTAAACCCCGAGGATTGTGCAGCATCCACTCGGACGGATGGCGGAGGGACAGGAACAGCCCTGGAGGTGAGGGGAGACGGCAGAGAGAAGAGGGCACAGAGCTGCGATGCCCGGGATTCTTGGTTTGTGTTCTGTTCTGGCTCTTCCAAGTCTAACCGTGTGATCTTGGGTGTCATTTTCCTTTCCAGGTCTGCTTCACAGTTGTAAATTTGGGACAGTCCTCCCTTGGCGGTCTCTGTGATCAAAGTGTCTGGGCCAAGGCTGGCTCTTGCCCCAGATCCGTGTGACGGCCATGATGACTGGTAGGGCGTGATGGGGACCAGCAGTGCCTACAGAAGCTGCGGGAATGCACAATGCCAGGGCTTCGCTCCACGGGGTCAGCAAATTCTCACTGAGATCCTATGAGGCATGTATGTTCGCGACCCCTCAGGTGAAACAGGCACAGAGACGCTCCATCCTCTGCCCAAGGTCACACAGCAGAGGTTCTAGCCCAGCCATTGGGGCTCAAGAGCCCACAAGTCATCCTACGCTGTAATTAATGCCCATTAGCTCTCGAACAGAACTTGAAGGAGCAGGTCGGCGTGGAGAAGGATCACCTATCTCCGTTTCCCTGGGCTCTCCCAGGTGGTGCCCCTCTTGGCCAGCTCCTGCCCCACTGAAGGGGACACTCAGGGTGAGGATGCTCCTGGCTCTAGGGGCTTCCTGACTTGCTGGTGTGGAAGGACCAGGCATACAGGGGTTAATGCCTCTAGGCAGAATTCTCAATCGAAAGGCTGGAAGTTGACTGAGAAACACCCCAGTTCCTGGTTTCTGAGCAGGGACACTTGGTAAGCTGACAGAGAGAAGATTCGTGTCCCCAGTTACCCTGTGCTAGGATGACCTCTCAGCCCATACCTACTGCAGAAAGGTCGGGACCCCACTCTGCAGCCCTGAGCCCCAGGGTCAGCCCCTGGAGTCTGAGTCCTGAACACTCCATCACCAGCTCTGTGACCTCGGCCAAGCTAATGGCCTCTCTGGGCCTTCGTTTCCTCCTCTGGGGAAAAACAGTACCACAGCCCACAACGTCCTTCCTGTGGCTACACTGGAAATTCATCGAGGTGCGTGGCGCCCCGTCCCAGGTGCACACTCAGGACTGGTGTCCATGCGGTGACACTGCGCTCTGCTCCCCCCTCTGGCATTTCACCCAACGACTGCCCCTCGCCCACGTGGGCAGCTCAGCAGGGGCCAGCCTCAGAGCTCAGCAGGGCCTTCCACCCTGCTCAGCGGCAGCTGAGAGCTCTCTCCTCTCAGCAGTGGATTTTGGTCTCAGCATCTGGCAAATGGTGTAAAATGATAAAGAAGACGCTTCTGGCAAGCTGCATAAAATCCAGAATGAGTCATAATAGTTTATGACCAAACTAATTAAATGGAACATAAACCTCATTGCAGAAACGTTTATGTAACTGCACGTTGTGGTTCTAAAAGTGCGGCCGTTGCGACCGCGCCCGGAGTGGAAGTGAGGGCAAGTGGGAAAGCAGCTTACTGACAGGTTAATGGGGACGCCCGGACACTGAGCGCCTCGCTCACCTCGTTCGAGTCCCCAGCAACTCTGGTGAGGAGGCATGTAATTCTCAGCCTATTAAAAATCATAATAAACAAAAACTGAAGCTCAGAGATGCTTGCTGACCCGCCTCAGATCACAAAGCCTGCCGGGGCAGAGCCGCTGCCCAGGGCCAGTTCACTACTACTTTTGTTGGGTGGCATGAATGCTTCACTTACTGACTTCTTGAGTTTTAAATTTCATTTTATCAGGAAGTAATGCATACGCATGGCTCCCAAACTGAAAAGGTAACAAGAAAACACAGTGGAGTATGACGAGTCACCCCACTCCCACGCCCCTCTGCCAAGAATCACCCTCCCATGGATGTGGGCGGAGGCCACTTCTATCACTGTTGCTCGGAGTCTCCAGGCTCCTTTCGTGGACACTAGAGAAAACACGCCAAGGGCTCCCATGCACTGCGGGCAGGCTGCACCCCGGCGTGCACCTTCACGCTCTCTTCACAGCGCTGCTCGGCACAGTCCCGGCTTGGTGTCTGGGGAAGGCCCTCGTTGTCCCAGCTCTGCCTGGTGTTCCACTGTGTGTCCTCCAGGTGGGCACGTGCAGCACGCTGACCCCTAAACACTCAGGCCGCCCTTTACCCTCCCCTCCTTGTGCGGCGTAAGAAGGGTCTGAGGACCGAAGCGCTCTGGGGACTGAAGGTTCATCACCTTCCTCTTGCCGATCTCCAGTCAGGAGGGAGGGACCTGCCTGGGGACACCCTTGAGATCACAGGTAAGACCAGGGATCTCTGCACACCCCCAACAGGCACTATGGCCTCAGGGACATCCTCTGAACACTCGCTCTTTCCTATGGTGTCCCTGGACAGCTGATGTTAAGGAAAAAGAACAAGAAAAACAACTCCAGCCAGAGTTTTAAAAGCGCCGGGGTAGGGGTGCATGTGGAGGAGCCAGCAGGTGCTGTTGAGGTGTCTCGTGGGCATCGTCCTGGTCCTCTCAGATGTCGTGTTCTACTCCAGGCTGCATGCAGCTGCCCCAGCTCCCCACCCACCCATAGGACGGAGGCATGGGACAGCAAACACAACGTGGGTGAAGGACAAGATTCCTGAGCTCCGCGCCCATCGCGTGACTCCTGGCTCCTCTCGCCTCTCTAAGACCCAGCTTCTTCTGCAGCACACTTGCCTTGCAGGGCTGTTGGGAGAACTAAACGAGCCATTTCCAAACAGTGACTATCACTGTGCCCGGTCACAGCAGCCCTCTCACGGTAGCTCTCGCCCAGCCTCAGGAGCAGGAGGAGCTGGCTATGGCGTAAGCGGCCTTGGGCTCTAACCCTTGGCCCACTGGACCTGAGTTGTGGAAAGAAAGCAGCAAGTCTGTGGGGCAGCGGGAACCTGAGTCCAGCCAGCAAGGTCTGAGTCCTGCTCATGCCTATGAGGCGTGAGACCTTGCGTGAGTCATCCAAACTCTCAACCCTTTCATGCCTGCTCGCCTGGAGGGGCGATGAACCCAGTGCTGGAAGCCACACGGCCACCTGAGTTTACACACGGGGTCAACCTGAAAGGCATCAGCCAGGCATGCCCAAGATTCGGGCTGGCTGGGGGGCTGGGGGAGGGGATTACGATTCGAGGAAACTGCTGAGGAAGCCTGCCTCTCTCTCACGCTCTCTCACCTAAAGAAACAAACAAACAAACAAACAAAAACGTCAAAAGTTTAAAGTAAGGGGCCAGCAGGTAGCATGGAAGTTAAGGTGCTGGACACTCCCAGATGGCCGACCATGGTTCGAGTCCCAGACCTGGTGGCTTGCTTTCTCACTTTCTCAGCTCTCTTTCTCTCTGTGTCTCTCTAGTCAAATTAAAATAATGAATAAATAAAATTAAATAATTCTAAAAATATTTTTTATATAAAGAATAAAGTTACAAATCTGGCCTATAAACTTGTCACAATCAAAGTTGTCACAATCCAAGGAAGAGTCATTTGTGGCATTTCGTGTTAAGCCCTGACAGAGCCAAGCAGGGGAGGTGTCACTCACACAAACACACCACCGACAAGAATCACCCCAAGAGCTGCTTCTTCAAGGACACCTGTCCAGAAACTGCCTACCCAGCCTACCGCTAATGATTCAGACACCAGAGGGTGGCAGCTGCTCACCGTCGCTATGAGCACTCCAACACGTGAAGCCCTCCCCACCTGTAAAATTGTCCTGAATTCGGTAGCGACTGTGTCCATGCACCCAGGGTAACTTGGGTGCTGTGGGACCGGGCGCTGTCCTGGACCTGCCTGGATAAGCTCACTTCGCTTCACATGCTTTGCCCCAGGTGCCCTTTCGGGGGACCGAGAAGTTTGGAACCCCTTACCGGCTCTCCCGGAGGTCCCGGCTTCCCACCTCTGCCCTCTTTGCCTTCTTCTCCCTGTGAGAGAAACTCAGGTCGGTGACTGGGTCAGGGAGATGAGGATGGGGAAACACGGATGCCGCTCCCCCGAGCCTGCCTGCCTGGCTCCAGGCTGTGCTCACAGGGGCAGCCACGCGGGCATGTCGACGGCCGGAAGGGGTCTGCTCTCCCGGGTGTCCCTCTGCGCGGAGGTGCTGGTGCAGAGGCTGAGCTGCAGGAAGCGGCCCGGAGTGAAAAGGCAAAGCACTCTGCACCCGCGTCATGTCAGTGGCTGCTGAGGGAAAGGAGCCCCTCTGAGCCCTACCCTGAAGCCAGACTTAGGCCCAGCAGGCCTCGTCTCTGGGCCTCCTGAGCTGAACATGGTGATGGATGGAGCAGGGGATGCAGGTGCCCACGAACATGAGGAAGAAATCCAATAACTCACAAGGGTCTCGCTCCGGTGGAATCTAAACATTTGATCTAAAAATCTGAGAGAGTAGGACAGGGGTTACCAGAGGGGAGCTGGGCCGAGGTCGGTCAGGCAAAAACAAGCTCAGGTCTCTACCACACAGTAGGGCGACGGCTAGTAACTCCACACTGTGCCTTTCAAGGGAGCTGGAGGAGAGGACAGCTCACAAAAACGATCGGCGATGAGATGACAGGATTCTAATTACCCCGGCCTGATCATCACGCAGCGAATACTGCATCAAAACCTCACACCGAAGTCCACAGACAGGTGCAATTATTAGGTACCCATTAGGAATAAAACTTTTAATAAAATAAAATGTATGAAAATAACATGCAGGACACGTGAGGGAGGGGCTCGGAGAACAATGGGGAGGACTATGATTGGGTCACAGGAAGGCCTGGGACGCTCTTTCTTCCTTGCCACGATGCTACGAGCCCCTCCCGGCTGGTCAGCTCCCTGCCCCAGGAGCGGGGAGAGTGGCCCACTGAATGCCTGAGAAGAGAATGTGGTTTTCCAGGAGAGAAAGGCTGCCCCTGCTCACTGCGCTACGGAGCAACTGTCCAGCTTCTCAGACTCCTCCTTTTCCTACCTTTGTACGAAGACTTGGCCCCCAGCAGGTGCGGGAGTTGTTTAACTCCAAGGAAACTAATGCTGGCCCTTGCTACCCAAAGTTTGCTGGGCCTTGCCTCCTTCCCAGAACCTCGCAGGAGTGTAGGAAATCATTAATCTCCATGTAGATAACAGCCATGCCTTCTGGCAGGCCGTTCCTTCTACCCAGAATTCCTTCTTCCTGACCCATTGGAACATCTTCTCCCAAATAACTTGACCTCAAATACACTCCCAAGAGTTGCCTCCCTCGGGGGGTTGAGGTGTCCCTGCCCAGTCTGTCCCCGGGGGCCACAGCCCTCTGCTCCCACCCATCAACGTGTGCATCATGTGCTATGTCCTTTCTTGCTTGGCTTCTCCAGGAAACTGCAGGCTCCTTGAGAGCTGGAACCACAGCTGGTTGCATCTAGAACCTTGAACGCTGGCCCGGGCCAGGCATGGGCTGCTCACTCATGCCTGACTCATCCACCCTGTCCTTCAGTCATCCCGGATTTAGGAAACACGTGCTCAGCACGGTGCAGCGAGGGCAGAGAGGACACTGACGGGCACTCGTGGTCCTCCACACAGCCCAGGTGCCGTGGTGGAGGTGAGAGGTGGCCTTACAATGCATCCCTCTCCAACCCACTAGGAGGTTCAGGACATGTCCCAGGAGAAGGTGATGCCTAGTGGGGACCTCGGGGGTGGGCAGATGAATGGGGCCGCTGCGAGGGCCATGCATTATCACAGACTCTGCCGAAGGGTGAGTGCAACATACAGGAAAGCTATTTTGAGTCTCACTGCCCAAGTAGAGGGAGAGGAAGGCTTATCTAAACAGAAATGATTCGCTGGATAAAGGCCAAGGAGTTTCGAGTGTCTGGGAGCAAAAGGAAAATACTATTTAAATAAATAAGCAACAACCAATATATGCATTTAAAAGAACAGGATTAAGACTGAGTCCATCAAAAACCCAGTCATCTTTGACCAATAACCAAGGTAGTGTCCATTTCCCTTCTACTTTCCTACCCCAAACTCCACTAGTGGACAGGCCTTGCTTCACAGTGATGGAATACATTTGTGTTTACTAGTTTTTGTCCAAAAAATATCCTGTATTTCAAAATAAATACCACTTACTGGGATTCCAGGTATTCCAGAGGGGCCTTGGGGGCCGGATGGACCTTCTTTGCCCTGAAAGATCCAAGACATGAAAATACAATGAAATACTTGTCTTTTCTGGAAGTAGACTTCTGTCTCAGACCGCCCTTGAGAGCTGGGAGAATGCGTCTTTGGCTAGGACAAGGGGCACTTCTGCCTCAACCTCATCCTCCAGGCTGTGCCTTGCAGAGCGGTGAGGTCGCCCAGGACAAAGAGCACCACGCCGGCCATGCACACTGACTCATTGCTGCCATCGCCAGCCTGGGGAGAACAAGCCATGAGAAGCCGGTGGGAGGAAGATGCTGGGTCTTGAGGTCCAGATCCAACTGCACTTGTGTGCAAATCCCCCGAGACCCACCTAGCATGACTGTGGACCCAGAGGTCCGTGCACACAGGGCCTCTCACAAGCCCACACCCCAAACCAACGGGCTTTCCACTTTCATCCTTTTGTTCAGAGGTTCCTAAGCCTTTTACTGTCAATGGCCACATCTAGTGTTTTTTTTTTGTGCAAAAAAAGACTGTGTTTTGAAAAAGTGTTCTCCAAATTGCATTAATCAGTACTTCATTTCCCATTTTTTCATCAAAGATGCATACAAATGTGAGTCAGGCCTTCTGAATCACCAGGAGGGAGGTAACCAGTGTCATCATTTCTATCACAGTGAGCAGTTTCACACGACCCTGTGACTCCACTGTGAGGGTCTCTGCATGTGTCTGACAGCTCATAATCTCCCACCAGTGTCTTTGCGAGATAAGATACAGCTGCCAGGCTTTACATCCTGACTCACATGCCACATAACATGGAACAACGTGAAGGCCCACGCCACATAACATGGAACAACGTGAAGGCCCACGCCACATAACATGGAACAACGTGAAGGTGGTGGTTTTATCCCCTGGAAAGGAAAGCAAAATCAAAACAAATGGACAAACTGAAACAGATATTTATGTCAGATTGATACAGACTTTATATGTTGTCATATAAAAATGGTCCAAATTGGGTCCCAGAAAATACTTGGCTCTATTAAGTACTACTCAAACTTAATATAAACTCAATAATTGAGTTTTACTTTCAAACTGGAAGAAAATAAAAGCCATCAGCAATGCATGATTAAGATATTAGAGTTTTTAACAGAGCCTTGGAAGCTGATGAAGAAGAGACTGTTTTGAGTTCTTTCTTGTCTGTTAAAATGTTTTCTCAAGAGAATTAACACTCCACATATTCCGGTTGAGAAGGGACTATTAATTAAAAAAAAAGAAAGAAAAACCAGAAAGCTATGTCTGTGCACTTGCACTGAGAGCAAGCTGGCACAGCCCAGCTCTCTAGAACGCGAAGTTGCATAGCACTTGAGACTGCCCAGACACAGTGCCTCTTACACCAGAGCAAAACTGGAACCACAACGAAACAGTGTTCACCCCTCACCACGTCCCAACACCTACAAACTCATAAACAAATTAAGTCCATACTTTTTGTCAACCTGAGACAAACATGAATGTTTGCATTCAACTCTCACTAGGGATATTTTTAATATTTTTTGTTTGTTTGTTTGTTTTGCCACAGGGTATGCATGTGTGCTTACCAAAGAGAGTCAGAGAAGGAAAGTGAGAGATCACCACTCAGGAGGGATAGCCAGGCTGTAATCCCTTCTCCTCCTTCTCTTTCTGGGGTTTTGGACACACATACACACATGCTTAGAGTGACTTTCAAGCTGCCAGGTCCAGGACTCGAATTGTGGTTGGCCATGTGGGAATGCAGCTCCTTGACTGTCATGCCACCTGCTGGCCCCTCCTTAGGGACTTATTTAGTATTGAAAATAGAGCTTTCTGGATGTCCTCCTGCATGCTCAGTGTTTCAAAGATGCTCGTATGAAATACTAGGATCTGGGACCAGCAGTTAGTATAATGGCTATGTCACTGGACTCCCATGTAGTTGACCGTGGTTCGCGTCTTGGACCTGGTGGCTTAAAACTCACACCAGGTGCGTGTGCGTGCGTGCCCAAGATCCCTAGAGGAGAATGGAGGAGAAGGGATTGCGGCGTGACCATCCCCCCTGGGGGGTGATTTCTGGCTTTCTGTCTGTCTCTCTCTGTCTGTCTGGCGAGCGCACATGCCCTATAGCAAAAACTTCTCCAAATAAATAAATAAAACTAAGATCTGGAGCTGGCTCGCCAACGCGGGCTCTCTGCCAGGTGTTGTAAACATGTTTTATCAGAGCACGGTCACACTGCTTCCTTTCCTACTGCCTGCAGCCGACTTTGACCACCACAGAGTAGAGTAGTTGCAACAGAGACCTTACATATGGCTGACGAGCCTAAAACTTTCACCACTGGGCTCTTTATATCAAAAGTCTGCCAAGCTCTGTGCCAGCCCAACCTCTTCCACTCGAGGTTAAGAAAGTACAGTCACACAGAGGCACGTGGAGACCCAGCCGAGAACCACACCTTGACTCGGCACCTCGACTCCCTGTCCAGCTCTTGCCACCACAGGCACACTTCCTTTTAGGAGAAAATAATTCCCTTGGCAGAGAAACTGGAAATTAAGGTAATTTCTAAGTCTAATTCTGGAGACTCAGAAACAACCTTCACTCATGTACCCCGTGATAAACCAGTCCCTGTTCCCTTTCTGGAAGTCCATGCCTCGTGGCCACACTGCGGCATAACTCTGCTCCTTTTATGAGACGTTTCTGCTATAGGGCACGTGTGCTCTCCAGAAAGACAGAGAGAGACAGAAAGTGAGAAATCACCCCCCAGGGGAAATGGCTATGCTGCAATCCCTTCTCCTCCATTCTTCTCTCGGGGTCTTGAGCACGTATGCACACATGCCCGGTGTGAGTTTACGTCCCAGGTCTGGGACTCAAACCACAGTTGGCTACATGGGAGTCCAGCGACATAGCCATTACACCAACTGCTGGTCCCATAACCCGCTCCTTCTACCTGACAGGTGAGATGAGGGTGCCTGAGGAGTCAGTGCTTGCTGCTAACCTGCTGGCACCATTCACTTGCTATGAAAAAGATGTAGAGTGATTAAATGTAAATAATAAACATTTTTAAAAATGAAAAAAAGAAAATTATACAATTGAAGTACTTATTGACTAACTCAGTGAACTGTAGGTGGAAAAAGAAAATATCCTTTTATGCAAGTTAAGTTAGGGCTTTGAAAATATTTCATGACACCGAGTCACTTAACATCTAAATGGTGGCTGTAGGATAAGACAGCTATAAAAGATCAGGAAGAAATCTCGTGGTCCAGGACGCCCGTTTCCACTGCTTCACAGAGTCTCAAAGCACTTTTCAAAAGAAGCAACAAAAAGCAGATGGGTGAATATTTGTTTTACAAGAATAATAATGAGAAACTCCATCATTATCCCAAATCAAAATAGAGTCTTCATCATATGTCAAAAAGACTGACAGAGAGTTAATGTTTTGTTTTAAAACACAATGGAGGGACCAGCAGTTGGCGTAATGGCTGTGTCGCTGGACTCGCACGTAGTCGACTGCGGTTCGCGTCCCCGACCCGGTGGCTTAAAACTCACGCCGGGCGCGTGTGCGTGCGTGCCCAAGATCCCAAGAGGAGAATGGAAGAGAAGGGATTGCGGCGTGACCATCCCCCCTGGGGGGGTGATTTCTCGCTTTCTGTCTCTATGTCTCTCTCTGTCTGTATGGCGAGCGCATGCGCCCTACAGTGAAAAAACCACTCCAAAACACACACACACACACACACACACACACACACACAATGGAAAGGTTTCAGGTGTACATGTGTCTTTTCGTTATGCCCACATTACTTATGTTTTCTCTTTTGTGACTACTAAAGTCATTGTTTGGGCAAAGAAAACTTCCACTGTATCCAGGTTTGATAGTTAGGGAACAGTATAGGACCACCCTCTCCAAGGGGTCCCTTACAGAATAAGGTCTTATTTAGTGCAGCTTAATTCCTAGGAATGAAATGGTTTTACATCTGGGCTCCACATCTTATTCTCCTCAGCCAAACAGTCCATTCGTTTTCATTGGGGAAATTGTTTGCTGTCTGAGTCTCAATAAAAAGCTGTTGCAATATGCTTTATATTATTCATCTCGGGCCTTCTATGTGAACTGCCTCAAAAGGATTGACCAGATGATAATCCTAAAAGGAACTGTGTGAGGGACCAGCAAATGGTGTAATGGCTATGTTGCTGGACTCCCATGTAGCCGACTGCAGCTCAAGTCCAGAAACTGGTGGCTTAAATTCACGCTGGGCACATGTACATGTGTGCCCAAGATCACGAGAGGAGAATGGAGGAGAAGGGATTGAGGTGTGGCCATCCCCCTGGGGGGTGATTTCTCTCTCTTTCTCTCAGTCTTTCTGGCGAGCTCACACACCCTATAGCAAATAAAAACAAAAAACAAACAAACAAACAAAAACTCTCCAAAAAAATAAAAAAAAAATATCTATGGACCAGGGTTTATGCCATGCCATTTGGGAAAACTGCTGACTCTAAGATCCTGTAAAAAGTTAGGAATAATTTCCATCTCATGGGTTGTCATAAGAAAGTGAGACAATTCACAATCAAAAAATACTAATTTCCCTTTCCCCAGACCAATGGGGCAAGGCTTGCTATGCCCACCAGTTTCCTCCCATCAACTGGTCATTTCACTTCTCCAATCCCTGCTTTCCTCATTTATAAAATGTAGATAATCATTCAGGCTTTTCTAACATGGTGGGGAGAGGGACCAGCAGATGGTGTAATAGTTATGGCACTGGACTCCTACGTAGTCAACCGCAGTTTGAGTCCTGGACCCAGTGGCTTAAAACTCACACTGGGTGCATGTGCGTGCATGCCCAAAATCCCGGGAGGAGAATGGAGGAGACCTTGCGGTGTGACCGTCTCCCCTGGGGATGATTTCTCACTTTCTGTCTCTCTGGAGAGCACACATGTCCTATAGCGAAAATCTCTCTGAAAAATTAAGTGGGTGGAAGCAGTCTGTTAGGCTCCTTCCTTCACGTGCAATGCCCGACCCAGCTCCTGCGTGACTCCCACTAAACTGCAGTTCACCTTTTGCTTTATGGCACTGAAACCAAGAATGTTTCTAGCAACATCATGAAGTGATGGAACTACAGTTTTCTGAGATAAAAGCCTTGCATTCTAAGGCTGACTCCACCAATCGTAGCTTCGAGGCCTGGACCAGAGACTGCTCCTTTCTGAACTTCACTCTCCTCTCCTGGACATCTGGGTAACTATGGCTACCTCCTGCCTTGCCCCCGGCACATACCTCAGGCTCATGGTGGGTCAGCTCTGAGCCTTTCCACCCTGCTGCTGCTCAGAACAGAGACCATGTGACAGGGAATAGTAACACTGGCCTACACCAAAGGCCTATTTGCCCTGGTAAACTTAATCCTGGAGTGCCACGTTGCCAGGTTATTTTATCCAATGCTTTATTTTTGTGGCAAAGTAACCAAAGCTCCAACAGAAAGTGACCCCTTCTGCAGCTTCCCTGCAAGAGTAGTACACAGAACCTCAAAAAGTGTGAGCCACAGGAGGTACAGAGGATCTGACAACATGAGCAAACACTTGGGGTTCTGGAAAGGCCTATAGACAGACTGAAGACAAATCCTGTCTTCTGAGGAACTTACAGGGGGTCCTTGAATTCCTGGTGGTCCAGCAGCCCCTGCAGTCCCATCAGCTCCCTGAAAAAGAGAGCAGAAAGCCAGTTTCCCGTGCACCTGGACAGAGGTCAACAGTGCCCTCCTCGTCACTCGTGACCCAACACACAGATCTTGCACCTGTGCCCCCTCCCAGCTGCCCCAACAATAAATATTTCAAAGGAGTGTTTGTCTTCCCCATCAGCTGGGCCATCCTCTGGAAATACAATGATGCTGGAAGAACTGCAGACACATGTCGGAAAGGGCCAAGGCATTAACCAGCCAGCCATCCGAAGATAATGGTAGATGGCCTCAACTTCAAAGTGGACACTTTCAGCTACTAAAATATCAGGGAATATTTTGGGACAGGAAGCTATGAATGAACAGTTGGGTTTACCTTCCAGAAGATTAGGAAGGCAATCACTCGCATCAACTTAGAGATAAAGAGATGCACAGATGGATAAACAGAAGAAGAGCCCGACACCAGGGAGTAACCAGAGCGAAGAGCCCCACACAGACGTGGGCCTCCAGGCTCCTGCTCACGCTCCTCCCTCTGCCTGTGAAGTGCCTGTGTGCCCAAGGAGCCCGTGCCCTCCCCTTTTTCACTTCGCTCAGGTACCTGCTTCGCAGTCAGACACTCCAGGCCTGCAGACCCAACATCGCAAGCCTCTGCACCTCACCACCCCTGCTACCGCCTGTCCCCTTTCTGTCTGCCTCCCCTTAGCTCTTGCCAGCATCTCTGGCATTTGCTGATTTTTATTTGTTTATCGCCTGCCTCCCTCCTCCCACACTCTTCCTGTCTTCTGAAGTGAGGGATTTTTCTTTTTCTTTTTCCTGGGAACTAAAATGTTGCCTGGGATATAGTGGATAACCAATGCGTCCTGAACTCGTTAATGAATTAGGGGCTGGGCCGACTGCGTGAGAAATGAGTGGTTCCTTACTTTGCACATCCACCTCTAGGAGCTCTGGTTGAGTCAGATTCCTAGTCCAGATACCATTTCCCCACTGACTAGCCACGTGACCATAGGTATCTCATTCCTTCGTAAAACAGAGAAGAAAAGGCACCTATTCCATATGGGATTTGAGAGATTTGAATAAGTGAATACACAAAAGGAGTTACCCAATGCCAGGCACATGCTAAGGGCGGTATCCACTGTCCATCCCAAGACCAGGGACACAGCATATTTTAACTATATATGAGAGAACAAGCCAGCAAGTTCCCCCAATACCTTCTTTAGTTGTTTTACATATATCGAGTGTCCATATTCTAGTAGGCGCTAACCAAGCTTCGGGGATAAAGAAATGGCACATGGGTTGGATCTCAGACATTCCATAAAGCATAGACAATAAGCCTAATTTACACTTATGAGAGATTCCTGGGACAGGGTCATTCTGACTCACCTCTACCTCCCCCATTAGGTAGGGGCTCAGTAAATGTTCAGTAAATGTTCATGAAGTAATGGTAACATTTAAACAATAGCCTAAGGCTTAGGGTACAATTATACATCCAGCCCGAAGCTAATGTAATAATGGGGTTTCTAGGACAAGTAGGTGGCATAGTTTGAGTCCCAGACCCGGTGGCTTTAAACTCACACCAGGCGTGTGTGTGTGTGCATGCCCAAAATCCAGAGAGGAGACTGGAAGAGAAGGAACTGCAGCATGGCTGTCCCCTCTGGGGGTGATTTCTTGCTTTGTCTCTCTGTCTCACTCTGTCTCTCTGGAGAGTACATGCACCCTATAAAAAGATCTCTCTTAAAAAAGAGGGGGGGATTTCTACTCCAATCCAGACTTTTGCACATAATCTCAGCAAAAGCTTCTGGTGACCTAGACTCTGGAAACTTGCTACATTGGGATTCTAATAAGTCCTCTTCCTCAGACTGGGAACAGGAAGAAGGACGCCAAGTGGGCGCTAGAAAATAAATCACAGGAGAGTCTTGCCTGCCTGACACCTATGTCCTGGGTTCCCTGGGCAGGGCCTGGCAAACAATGAGCACTTGGTGGAAACAAAAGTGAAACGAACCAAACACCAGTGCGTAAGCATTCACTCCTGCACCCGAGCTGCTTCTGCATGATGGCTGCTGCCCTGGGCAGGGCTGACTCAGCAGCCATTCTCCAGGCTGTGGGCAGCACCCAGCAGGACACAAAAGAGAGGCTCACTAAACACCTGCCAGGGAGCCGCCAGCATTGATCGGCGGGGGGGCAGGCAAGCTGGCTGCTGACTGGGACTGCTTCTGAGCCTCAGCTTTATCACCCAGCGTGAGAATGAAAAGCTGGGAGCTATTTCCCGCCACCGTCACAGAGTCCCAGGTCACCGTGAATTCCAACGGAGAGGAGCACCCTGTCTATACTAGAGTGTGCTACAAGCTTTGGAACCTCCAGGGGGGAAGGGGCATGGGGTTTAACCCCATATTCGATATCCAAGTCCTTTAGCTCTTAGGTTCCACAAGGAAGGAAAAGGCACCAGGATATAAAATTACCTGTGAATAAACTATTTTGTTTTAGAGTTGTTCATTTATTTTTTTTTTCTGCTTTGGAGTATGTATGCTCTCCACAAAGAAAGAGACAGAGACAGTGAGAGGAAAAGTGAGAAACCAGCCCCCAGGAAGAATGGCCCTGCCCTACTGCAATCTCTTCTCCTCCATTCCCCTCCTGGGATCTTGGGCATGCACACACATGTGCCCAGCATGAGATTTAAACCACTGGATCTGGGACTTGAACTGCAGTCAGCCATCTGGCAGTCCAGTGATACAACCACTACGCCACGTGCTGGCCCCTAAATAAACTGTTTTTAGTTAATGTAGCCCCCTCTTAAATGTCCCTACTTGCTCAACACTAATGCCTCTCCCCACTACCTGGTCTATCACCATCTTTATCAGTATTTTTTTCTTTTTGCTGATGGTAAGATGCTACAAAAGTCAATATCATATGCAAATACAATTTACCAAGTAATTTACCAAGTGAAACTGCAAATCTTGGAAGAATTACAGAATTCTGTGAAGTTAAATGAGAGCAAACCGATCATTCCTGTACAAGGTCTTCGCTAATGGAAGCAAGGCAGAGACAGACCAGCTAAGAATTGAGACTGAGAAATTATAAAGGATATTAACATCAAAGGCACTTGGGAGAAAAATGGGTTGAATATCAAAGAATTAAGGTAGGCTTTCTGAAATTCAAAGACAGTTTTTAGTACTGTGGATAATTTACCTTATGGGTTTGCTATAAGAGTCAATTATGCAATGAAAAATGTTGTTTTGTGCTTTATATGGTTTTATTGAAAGAACCACATTTAACACAGTCTGATTTATTCTAATAATTACACGTAGTCACAATTAGAAGTTGTTTTTTAAAAAAGAGCAAGCTTAATTTCCTAATTTCAAGTTCATGCTCTTCACTGAGCCTCTTTTTCACTACTTAGGACTCTCTGCTGTCTACTTCAGTGACCTCTTAGCCATCAACGTGTGTGAGATCAGGCCTCATGGATAGCCATGGGAAACCGATCTTGGGCTTCGCAGGGACACTGGTTCCCACCTCTTGTTGCCATGGCTACTCACGATGGACACATAGGCTGCCAGGGCAGTGGACTTTGACTAGGGACACATTATGACTGATATGCGGGCAGCCCAGACTGAAGGGAGAGAGACGCTAAGAAGGGTCTTCATCGACACAGCCACTACCAGAGGAAGAGGAGGTGTGCGCAGGGGCCATGAGGACAAGCTAGATGACAGTAATGGCAGTCCACGGAGCTTAAAGGCAGCAAGTGCCTTCAAATAATAATGAATGGACGGTTAAAAATACTGAATAGTACAAGTGAATAATACCAGCTGGGGTCAGTACTATTGTTATTGATTAGAATAAATGCAGGGGACAAGCAGTTAGCGTAATGGCTATGTTGCTGGAATCCCACGTAGTCGACCGCGGTTTGTGTTCCGGACCTGGTGGCGTGAACCTCACACCGGGCGTGTGTGCATGCATGCCTAAGATCCGAGAGGAGAATGGAGGAGAAGGGATTGTGGTGTGGCCATCCGCCCTAGCGGGTGATTTCTCGCTTTCTGTCTCTCTGTCTCTCTCTGTCTGGCTGGCTAGCACACATGCCCTATAGCAAAAATCTCTCCAAAAGAAAAAGAATTCAGGAAATCTGGGCTTATGAGACACGCTTTCCTTCCCAGGGCTTCTCACCATGGGACAGGTTCCTCGAAAAAGGGAAACACTCCTCTTACTTCCCTTAGTTTCCACGTGCTTCAGTTGAGACCCCAGCCTTGACATGGCAGCTTCCCACCTGTTCCAGCTCCATTCTGCTTGCTCTACCGAGGCCACCAGGTGCCTCTGCACGTGCCCTGGGTGCCTCTGGGACCCACCGTCCCCATCCCAGGGTGCCTTCTGGGTGTCAGCCCGTCCTCTGTGGTAAGAGCGCGACCCCGTGTGATTCCATCTGCAGTGTAAGAATGTGCTCAAGTGGCACAGCCAAGAGAGGAGAGAAGTCAAGACGTTTACTTACTGGTGGCCCAGGGTTGCCGGGGGGCCCCATGAAACCTGGAACTCCGGGATGACCCTAGGAAAACAAGAGAAGCCTTTCTGAAAACCAGCTCATAGAAAGCTTTACATTTTGTGTAAATATCAAACTTCAGATAGTAATCCAAGAATCATCTTCTAATTTCTTTTATTTATTTATTTATTTATATATTTATTTATTTTTATTTTGTTTTAGTTTACATTTATTCACTGAACATCATCACAGCATACAAAACATGATATATATATTTATATATATATTCATATTTATATATATATTCATATTCATATATTCATATTCACCCTCTGCCTTCTAATTTCACTAACAATCTGGGTTAAAGATACGGACCACAGAAATGACCTCTATTTACATAGCACTAATGCTTCTGCAGGCTGACAAGCCACAGACAGTGCTTACAAAACGGGGACGCTTCACCAAACTGTGGTGGGAACGGTGGCTGAGGGTGTGACTGAGAACCAGAGTGGCCGTGACAGCGGTGTGTGCTGGGCCCGGGACTTGTTATATTATACTCTCTAACTTGTCAATATGTTTGAAATACCCATTAATAAAAAATAAATGTGCATGTGCACTCACACATGCACACACACACGCACATACGTGTATAGGCACACTCACACATTCACACAAGTGTACACACACACACGCACACACATAGGTAGATTATCCCTTACTGAGTATCCTAAATGTCCTGAAATGCTTGGGATTTCAGATTCTATTTTATTTTGAAATATCTGCATATACAGATAAAGAGATATCTTGGGGCTAGAACCCAAATACACAGAGAAGTTATTCATGCCTCTTATCCACATAGCCTGAAGGTCATTCCCTCCAGTATTTTTGTATCTCAGTACTTCAGCTACAACCTGTCACATGAGGTCAGATTGTTCCTAGCTGTGGTGTCATGTTGATGCTCTGAACACTTGGGATTCTGGAACATATCAGGTTTCAGCTTTCTGGATTAGGGACACTTAACCTGCATATGTGTATATATGTATCATCCCACCTCCATACTCTACATCTGCAGATTCAACCATTTCATTTACAAATCAAGACAGATCAAAAATGTTCAAGAAAAAAATAAACACATAAAAAATAATACAGCATAACAGCTATTTACATTACATCTACATTGTATTAGCTACATTGTATTGTATAAGTAATCAGGAGAAGATTTGATGTATATGAGAATGTGCACGGATTATATGAACATACATGATTTGATGTAAGGATCTTGATTGTTGATGGAGCAATACCAAAAGACAACACACACACACACAGACACATATATATAATCTGACTAACAGAATTAGGGCAGCCATGCTATGGTAATGTCAGTTATGTTAAGGAAGACTCACTTCCCCACGTGCAGAGGAAATTACCGTGTACTGCGGAGTAAGCCAAGGGAGTTACAGTGCAGCACATGCCCGCTGACACTGCTCTTACACTCCACTGTCATACAACCGAATGAACCCTCCACACGCTGCCATGGGAAGACACGGGCTCTAACATTCAGCATAGAGTTCATCACGTTGACAAGTCACTCTTATATACATAATCCAAATATATTTCATCTTTCCAAACACAGAAGGAACTTCAGCCGAGGGTCCTATCAGACCTCTTATCTGGCTGCCTGTGGGTGACTTGCTAAGTGCCTCACTCAGTAAAGGGCAAGTCTGCGGGTGGGAACCGGCCCATCCCTCACTCTGCACGCTGGAGCCCACCACAGTGCCTGACGTGGGGCTGCTTTACACAGCACTGCCCGTGAGAGGCAGAGGAGATGAGCTGTGAGAGGGAGAGAAAGGGACGAGGGAGCACCACGGCAGCCGCTGCATGGAGGCACAAGAGCCGCTTAGTCACAGGGACACTAGTCAGGCTGAGCCAGGCAGCTGGCAGCACTGGACAGAGAAGACGTGGCGGTTCAGTGCTCAGGTCCACGCAGAGGGCAGCGCGTCCTCACTGGCACCGTCTCTCATGCATCAGAACTGGTTCGCTGGCCTGCGGGGCACTGCCCGAGCACGGGACAACGGGAAGCAATTTCAGTTAGCACCATGGGAGTCACGGGACAGGTCCTCGGGACACGAGGTGAAGAAAGAGGGAGCATTTCTACATAAGACACACTAGTTCAGTGAACAAGGAGAGGTAATCAGTCCAAAACAGAAAATGAAATGAAAAGAGAGGGCGGGCTCCCCAGATGACAGGGGGAGAAGGGAGGATGAACATGAACTAGAGATATCAAGATGGAAACCATGAAATTGTAATTTTTAAAAAATCCTTTTGCAGGCAAAGAAGAAAGAAGGAATACAGCAGATAGCAGAATGGAATCTACCCAAGAGGAATAGCAATCTTTCTTCAGAACTAATGGTACATTATAGGTGGTTTTTACCTGATCACCTTTCTGTCCAACCTCTCCGTCTGCACCAGGTTCTCCTTTACTTCCCTAGGGGAAAAAAGAAAAGTCACTGAAAATTTTTCTATAGCTACTTGCAAAATGAAAAAAGAAAGGGGGAGGAAGGGAGAAAAGAAAGAGGAAGAAAGAAAAAGAAAAAAGAAAAGGAAAAGAAAGACAGCAAGAAACAAAGAAGAAAGAAAGAAAGAAAAGAAGAGAAAGAAAGAAGGAAGAAAGAAGAAAGGAAGAAAGAAAGGAAGAAAGAAAGGAAGAAAGGAAGGAAGAAAGGAAGGAAGGAAGGAAGGAAGGAAGGAAGGAAGGAAGGAAGAAAGAAAGAAAGAAAGAAAGAAAGAAAGAAAGAAAGAAAGAAAGGAAGGAAGGAAGGGAGGAAGGAAATTAATGTGGGAGAAGGGAAGAAAGGAAGGAAGGAAAGATCGATGCATTCACTCGCCCATTTCTTCATTCTTTAACAATCTCTTACTGAGGTCTGGCCATAGGTCAGGCATGGTGGCAAGAGACAGAGACGTGGTCTGGCTAAAACATTGTTGTTACATAATCAAGTGGGATTGCGGGCACCCTAGGGAGCATTGGGAAAGGGGGCTGGGGAGGCAGGCAGGCCAATTCTCTGAGTGCCTAGTATGTCAGCTCCTGAGTCTGGGATGGTTGTGGGCACCTTCAAGGATGTACAATTGCCCTGGGCCTTAGCTGTGGCTGCAGTGGGGTGGCTGTGAGGGCTAGAAGGGCCAGATAAAGAAAGGGTGATCAGTCACAAGGCAAACAGGGTGTAATGAGGAGTAAGAGGGCTGAGAAGACGAGGCAGAACTGATGGTGTCTGTGGGCCTTTGGGGCAGGAGTGAGGAGAGGAGAGTTGAGAAGATGGAGCGTGAGGCGGCCCTACCTACAGGGCTTTGAAGGAAGACCCTCCACACGTGCATTCTCCTCCTTGCCTTTTAGCTGTGGGCTGTGGAGTTTCACTTAAACTCAGCATCGTAGGGGGTTTTGCTTGTTTATTCTGGTCTAAAAAGGAGAAAATAATGACGCCTACCCCATGAAATATTGGCAGAATAAAATCAGATAAAACATTAAGCACAGAGCTATGAATGCAGCAAGAGCTCAATTAGGTTTTAGTTACAATTACTATTTTTATTAGCTTGCATTTGAATCCTGTGTCATTTACTATCTGTGTGTCATTGGGCAAAGTGCTTCAACTCCCTGTTTCCTGAATTGTAAGATGGGAATAATAACAATAACTGCCATCATCAACCTCCTCCTCACCACCACCACTGCCATCACCATCGTTGACTACACCTCATCATCACCATCGTCGACTACGCCGTCACGGTCATCATCCTGATCATACTTACCACCGAGAGCATGGTCGTCAGTACACTCAGAATACAACACCACCCTCATCATCAGCATCGTCGAATACACCTCATCATCACCATCGTCGACTACGCCGTCACGGTCATCATCCTGGTCATACTCACCACCGAGAGCATGGTCATCAATACACTGAGAATACAACAGAGAATACAACACCACCCTCATCATCAGCATCGTCGAATACACCTCATCATCACCATCATCGACTACGCCGTCACGGTCATCATCCTGATCATACTTACCACCGAGAGCATGGTCGTCAATACACTCAGAATACAACACCACCCTCATCACCATCGTCGACTACGCCGTCACGGTCATCATCCTGGTCATACTCACCACCGAGAGCATGGTTGTCAGTACACTCAGAATACAACACCACCCTCATCATCACCATCGTCGACTACACCTCATCATCACCATCGTCGACTACGCCGTCATGATCATATAACACCACCCTCGTCGTCACCATCATCGACTACACCGTCATAGTCATCATCCTGATCATACTCACCACCGAGAGCATGGTCATCAATACACTGAGAATACAACACCACCCTCATCATCACCATCATCGACTACGCCATCATGGTCATCATCCTGATCATACTCACCACCGAGAGCATGGTCATCAATACACTGAGAATACAACACCACCCTCATCATCACCATCGTCGACTACACCTCATCATCACCATCATGGACTACTCCATCACGATCATATACCACCACCCTCATCATCACCATTGTCAACTACACCTCATCGTCACCATCGTCGACTACATCATCACAGTCATCATCCTGATCATACTCACCACCAAGAGCATGGTCGTCAATACACTGAGAATACAACACCACCCTCATCATCACCATCGTCGACTACACCGTCACGATCATATAACACCACCCTCATCATCACCATTGTCAACTACACCTCATCATCACCATCGTCGACTACACCTCATCATCACCATCGTCGACTACACCTCATCATCACCATCAACACCACCCTCATCATCACCATTGTCGACTACACCTCATCGTCACCATCGTCGACTACACCGTCACAGTCATCATCCTGATCATACTCACCACCAAGAGCACGGTCGTCAATACACTCAGAATATGCAACCTGCAAAAAGTGTCTTTCACAGACTAGCCCCGAAAGTGACACTCCATGGTTCCAATCTTTCATTTGTAGTCAATCTTGGCTCTGCATTTACTGTGTTAACAAATGTGTTTCAGTAAAATGTCATTAAACAGAACCACTTCAGTCCTTTAGGAGGATGCACTATGCAGTGAAGTAGGTCCTTGGCCATAAGTCAATCTTGGCTCTGGCTCCATTCTTGCCATCCCTATCTTTGTATCCTTAAGCCAATCATGCCCCTCTGCGGTCTCAGTTTTTTCATCAATTAAATGAATCCGTCTGAGGGCTCAGGACCCCACAAGTATCTTATTGAAACATCAAGCTTAATCTCTTCTGATCCAGACTTCTCTACCTCACATCAGTCCACTGCCGATGGTGACTATGTAATAACACTCCCTTCCTCCACTCCAGGGTCTACAGGGAGGGTTAGGTGCGCTAATGCCTATAGAGGACCAAGTCCCGCTGTTTAGAGAAAAAAACATGGCTTCAGAGGGGAAATGCAATTGTTCCAACATTTGTGCATGCAATTATTTCTACTGTTTCTAAATCTATTAAGCCAACAAACTGTCTGCAGGCTGCTTTGTAATCAATGAAAAGAAGTGACACAGAATAGCACACTATTTCCCTGACATTTAGGACAATTGCCTTAAAGGTAAATGGTTTCCTTTCAAATTCTGGTCCCCAGTCTGGGACTGAAGTGGTTTCAACACTCATCTGGCACAATGGAAATGTCAGCAGCTTAAGGATCTCCACAGTTGTCCCTGTCTCCTGATCCCCACTGCAGTCGGGGATCAAAGCAAACACAGCCACCCCCAAGCCTGACTCATTTCCTTCCAGAAAAAAGGACTGACATTTGCAGAGCCTCTACTTTGATGGGCACTCAGCTAGGACTTGTCACATGAGATTCTACTTCATATGTTGCTTTGTTTATATTCTGAGCTGATGCAAAAGTATTTAACATGTCTGTGATATCTAACTTAGGCAGTAAGACTACTCTATGGGGTAGGGCTTACCATCAGAGTGTTCACTGAGAAATCTGAAGGCCAGACAGGTTAAGTCATTCACCTGTGGTCACACAGCTAATAAAAAAGCAAGATCTGGCATCTACCCAAGGTCAGTCTGATGATCAAGTATCCCTAACCAAGTTACTCTCTGGGCTATTTCTCTCTTCCACAGTGCCTCGTCTCTCTGGTTTCATTATGCCAAGGTCACAGGATGTATAGCCAGGAAGCCTGCCTGACCACACTGACCACACCAACCACATGCCAGGCACACTGCTACACACTGGAGGTCCAGCTGTCAGTAGAACAGATAAAAATCCCCGAGTTGCTATTCAAGGGAGATTAAGAACTCAGGAGGTCAGCTATCTTCAGATTTTTATTGAGGAACCACTTTAAGGGCTTAATTCTCCTTGTCTTAATTGTTAAATTGAGTAGTCTGGAAGGATCTGCAAAACTCTGGGCATCTGCAGCCACAGCTGAAACATTGGCATGTCGGTCATGGTAAGGCTGTGTCACCAAGGCCACTCTGCTACTGCTACAGATAGAATATTCTGTAATAAAGTATTTTATTTTGGATTAAAAATAATATAAAAAAGTATGAAAGAGACGTTGCTTTCCTCCCATTTCTTAAAACACATGCATCACTGTGAGCTCTTTTTCTGTCTCTGGAATATATAACTCCTTTTAAAAGATCAATATTTTGCTAGCTTTATCACCCGGGCACCCAAGACCATCTTTCTTAAAGGAACCATCTTTTCAAACATAATCTGCCTGGAGGAGCAACCCTAGCTCCCAAGTCCTGTGGGGTGGTAGATACCTAACTCGGCCAGCTGCCTGGCCCCAAGGTGCAAAACTGCCTCCCATTACAGAGCTGTGAAGTTTACTTTTCCTTTGGATAATGCCAACTAGCTAAGACAAATGGCCACCCAAATTCCAGGTGAATGTAGGATGAACACGTGGGAAAATGGTGCTATCCAATCCTCTTAAGGACGAGTTACTCTTTATTGTGAGGAGTGGATTTGATGGGTGCCCGTGTGGGCTTGGCTGTATAGAAGAATGAGGTTGGTTTTTGTCACTGCAATCGCTTAGCCAAAAGTTTGTGATATGCATCACATTCTAGTGTAATGCTTATTTAATAATAAAATTGTTACCTTTCTCTTCTACCTTTGTAGGAAAGTTTTCTGGGTGGGAAGAAGATTTTTGTTCTCCTTTAATTTATATTTTCCCAACACCATGATGTATCAAGCACATTTTGTGACAATTATTTAGAGATTACAATCACACTAGGGGTTGCTCTACAGATGTTGGTCTTTTAGAACCTGCTGAGCAGGGACCTCTCTCGAGGAGTCTACAAATGTTAAGGGCAGGGCCTCAACTCTGTCCAGTTAGTAAGTGTCTGCTTTTCTCAGAACAAGCCCTGCCCTTGAAATTTTTCTGTTCTCTTCTAAAAACTCTTTATCCCCAGATGCTTGAAAAATCCTGATTCACCTTAAGGTACAACTGAACTCTTCTCTTTT